AAATAAAACAAGCATATACCCACTTTTTCACTTAACTATCCCTAAGTATTTTTGAGAATTGTTGCTTTAAATTTAAAACAAAAAAAAAATCTAATTAACTGCTATATTTATTGTACAGCAACTAAATGGAAAGCTTACCTAGAGAAATAGACACATTTGCAATACACTATATTCGAACCAAATCAAACATTCACATCAAGCAATCTTTCAACTCGTGGCCTTAAAATATTTTACTATTGCTACCCCCTATTTGGTAAAGATATTTATGATTAGATCAGCCAGCATGCATCTTGCATGGAGGTCCCTGATCCCGTTAGCAGCATGCTTGTGAAGCTTATTTCTGTTTATCCACGGTGACATATCAGCCTGAGCTTGTCGGTGACAAAGCCCAATACTTTTCTCCTTACTGACGCGGATTACATTGCAGGCACTAAGTTCTAGCAATTTCTCACCATGTTGGGCTCCTTCCAAGGACTGTTTTGTAACCATTAACAAATCTGGACCATAAAACATTATAAATAGGCCCCAAGTTTGYCTTTAAAGAGTTGGCAACCACACAAGCTTGGGACAAAGAAGCATCTCCAACCCTCTTTCCAATTAGACTGTCCCCTGTGACCACGGCGCACAACACCAGCTCTGTGTGTGCGCATTTGTGTGTCTTTGGGGGACATGGGGGTGGGGTGTTAGTTGGCTCTAATCTGCTTGATGATGAAGATCCTCAGTGCTCGGGGGGGATCTGATGAGGGAGTCGGTGTGTGCGTGTGTTAAGGGAGGGCTGGGGTTTGTGAGTGGGGGGTGTTGCTCTCCTGCCTTACGCCAATGCAATCACGACTGTCGCTCACCACAGACCTCTCACATTATCTCTCTCACTCTTTCTGCTTCACACACTCTTCCTCTGTGTTGCTCACTCACTCGCCCGACGCACTCACACACACGCACATTTCACCGCTCACTCAATCGCTTTCTTCCCCCCACCCTCAGTCGTCGCGCTGCATTCGCACGGACAGACTCCACTTAGGTACAGCTCCTGTGCAGTCTCCAGCTCTTTCCTCTTCTCCAGCTGCAGTGCTCACAAGCATCTGTTATGCTCCAGCTCGCGCTCAAAGTGCACACAGTGAGTGGGATAATGACTGAAAAGCACCAAAGAGGAAAGCAGGGCGATAAAAAGAATTGAAGGGAGCGGAAGGGGGGAAGAGGCTGTTCCTGCGTAAAGGTGGGAGGACAGTTTGATTCAGTGAAAATTTGGATTAAACTGGCTACATCTCTGCACTAAAGTTACCTCTGAAGGTAGGTGCATSTTCTCCTTGAGCTATTCTTTCCACCTTTTATTTGTGTCAAGCAYCCGAGCTTTCAGCTCAACTGAAACCTCTAACTACTCCACACTCACATGGTTTGTGCAGTTTATTCACATTTGATAGTTTGTTGACAGAGTTCCCCGCRACAGACGGTGCACTATTTGGTTAAGGTATTGCTTTCATTCAGCTGCCAAGCACAAGTTAAGAGGTCTCGCTCAAAGAGAAACTTAAGTGTGATGAAATGTTGACCTTGACAGTGTGGTAATGCGGTAAAGTTTGAGCAGCGCAGACACTTTGATAGTTGTGTGCATCTTGAGCTTTCTGTTACAAACATATATATAT